TCAGATGGCGGGAGGCTATCAGCCATATCTCAGGACAAAGCAGCTTAGAGGGACTGGGGTTAAAGGTTCTCAGGCTTCCTTCCAACACTCCCTAGTCCCATGCTCAGGACCCTATTCTTCCAAGTCAGTAGCCTGACTTCACTCAAAACTGTAGTTCCAAATTGAATTTCTGCTAATTATGTACTGGGCAGGCCAGTCTGACAAGTAGCCCTATCTGCTCAGAATAAGAGAATCTCTTTGGGTTATCAGGGAAACTGGTTTTCTGACTGAGTTTGATCTGACATTTTAAAACCTGAGTTTTGACTTCCTGAAATCTATTACAATCAGAAGCTGGCCCATTCCACAAATCTGTGCTCACCACTCCCACTGTGATGGCCACAGTCTTGGTCCTGCCTTCAACAGACATACCATACAATGACTGGCAATCATTGAAATAGCTGTTTGCCAGGGCACTCTGTAGTGAGACCAACTCCAGCTTCCTCTGCATGTGTGTGTTGTGTGTGCACACATATACATACAAGCTTTTAGGCTCACTCCAGGAATCAAGTGCACATATTCAGCACTCAGCCAGAAAGGCAGTATGAGGATGGCCTGAGGCCTGAAGCCTAAGCAACTTTAAATATTCCATTTTGAAACCTGCAGTCTCACCAGGCACACCTAGGGAGCCCTCCAGTAAGGCCCTCAGACACAAACAAGTCACTACCCTCCATCCTGATAAACTCAGACTGAAGCCCTTGGCAGACTGTCCTCTCGGATAAGAGGGAAAGGCGAAAAGATCAGGGTGGGGACCACCAGACCAGATGTTTTAACCCCAGGGTAAAGATGTCACTGAGAGACCCGGTGGTAGCTGATAAGGATTGAAATGGGGGTCAGAGTCCTCAAACTTAGTATAAATAATAGAGTAAGTGAACAGACATTCAGCCTGCTGACACTGATGCACACAAGCCTGAGAGCCTGGTGAGGACTTGGACTGACATCCCTATTCTTCTCATTTGCCTGAATCTCTGTGTAGTTCTCATCGCTCTCAAACTCTACAGCCACATCTTGACCCTGGTGAGTCGCAACTTCTCCCTAGGACATGGTCTCCTTAGCCAGCCATCAGCTCCACCCCAGGAGAACTCAGCCAGCCATCAGCTCCACCCCAGGAAAAGCCTACCTTGGTTCCAGACCTGATCACCGCAGTCTTGAGTGTGCACATCTGCTGGACTTCAAGACAAAGGCTGGAGACTTTTGATCTGACACTCTAGCATTCAGAGAGAATGTTTGTCATTAGCCTGTCATGATTGTGTTTGCAGTGCTTAGAATTAATTAATCTAGAATTATTTGCTGTGAATTGATTATGTTTATTGTAGTGCCTAGCATTAAGGATTGTTGTTTTCTTGATTAAGAACCTATAGAGTGAAATTGTATTGAGTGATTTGAGTGACTAAAGCATTGAAAAGGGCAGAAGGCATGGACATTCTTTATTTCTCCCCCTGGACTGCATAAGTCGCATGAGACTTTTGCACATCGCAACATGCAGACACTTCTCCATGTATTTCAAACAGGGATCTAAAGCCAAGAAATGTTTCCAAGGATGCTGGAAACGCTGGAGAGGCTGTAGGAAGGAGAGGAAGGTGTTGGGCACCCAAGGGAGAAGATGCTACCTGGAGGTCAGAAGTGGGTACTGCCCCTTGCCTGGAACCTTGTAGCCTGCATAGCTCAAGCCCTACCCAATCTGGTGGCACTCACTGTTACCCGCCTATAGTCAGCACCTGTGCCAGTGTCCTCACCAGCAGATAAACAATGCTTCCTCCTCCATCCCCAATATGGCCCCTTGGCAGAACTTAATGGAAGCCAGCAGGCAGGGGATTCTCAATGTGTCCCCCAGAGTGTCATCGGGTGCCGTCTAGCACTGATGAGATGCTGCAGAGGCATCAGAGAACCACCATACACCTCTCTGGGAGGTGCAGACAGGAGCTAGCAGAAAACACACACACACACACACATGAATTTTAGTTGTAGACAGACACAATACCTTTATCTTATTTATTTTTATGTGGTGCTGAGGATCCAACCTAGCACCTTGCATGTCGTGATAGGCAAGTGCTCTATTACTGAGCCACAACCCCAGCCCCGACTTCTTTCTTTTAAATAATGGGCTGGTCCCCACTTTTCCAGTATTTTCCGAATATTTCCTTCTTTGCTCTTCTAGCTGCTTTCCAAATGATTAATGCTTGCAAATATCATTTGTCACTTCCAAATCAGAACTTCTCATCCCTCTACTTGAATTCTTATGGATATCTTGTCTCCAGAAAACCTTCCTACTGTTTTCTTTCCTCATCTTAACCAACTCTACTGTCAAACACACTTGAGAAAGACAAGCCATTTATTTATTCAAAAAATAACCAGCCAAAAAACACCACATTCAGAAACTTAAAAATACGCCAACATGAGTGCTTGTTTCTTGTGTGAAGTAAGAGTCTTACTGTATGTGGTTTGCTGTTGAGCAGTTCTCTGACTTTTGTGAAGGTCAAGGGCTTCCCTGGAAAGAAAGCGCTCTGTTCAAGACCTGAACCCTGAGATAGAAGCAGCACCTTCTACCCCCTGCAAACCCAGAAGGTTGGTTCTGCTTGGGGTGTCATTTAGCCATTGTCACTTAGGCTCCTAAAATGGATCTGATCCCTTTCTTCACACCTCTTAATGGTTTCCACTGCTCTCAGAATGAAAGCCAAACTCCTTACCTAGCTGCCTGAGCTGACCCCACCTGCCCTGCTCACATCTCCCATGCTTCCTTCCTTACTGAGCTCCCTTAACACTGGCTTGTTCCTTAAATTGCCAAGGCATGTTCCTCCTGGGGTATCCTTCAGGCTATCTTGTTCAGAAAACTCATCATGTGCCAGCTTTTTGCACCAGATCTGAGCACAAATACCACTTTTCAGAAAAGCCACCCTCAGTTTTGTTTTCCTCATAGCACTCACCACTGGAGATGTTTTTACTTTTTTTAAAAAATATTTTTAGTTGTACACAATATCTTTTATTTTTGTTTATTTTTTTTAATGAGGACCTTCCATATTTAAATGTATAT